TTTTTTTGAGACAGGGTCTTGCTATGCAGTTCAGGCTGGTCTTGAGCTCACTTTCTAGCCCAGATTGGTCTCAAACTTGCAACGATCCTCCTGCCTCAGCCTCCCTGTAATCATCCCTTGTAATCCTCTGGGATTACAAGGGTGCACCAGCACACCCAGTGATTCTCCCTCTAAATTGGATGTCCTGTATTTTATTTTTTTGAGTGGAATTTTTTTTCTTTTGTACTGGGAATCAAACTCAGGACCTTGCACTTGCCAGGCAGGTGCTTATGCCACTGAGCTATATCCCCGGCCAGAGAAAGCAATTGTTATCTCCAGATTTTAGCTCCCTGCCCCAAGTTCTTTGGTCCCAGCATGGTTGGGAAAGGGGATGAACCACTCTGTAGGTACAGCCAGTGTTTGGCCTAACACAAACATCACCGGGTTTGGAAACACTTACCTGCCAGAGCAAGAAGTCACTCAGCCGTACTTCTCCAGAAGTCCGTATCAAAATGTCAGGATGAGGAGAGTGGTGGGTGTAGAGACACTTATCAAGCAGACACTCAGAGACATCACTAGAGTAAGCAGGAGATGAACAGAACAGTGTGTCTCCTTCTGCAGTATTCCTTTGGTGAATGTTCATGCATTACATTTCTCAACAGAACAGCATCAAACACACTCACCAATACTACTTGGTGCAGAGAACGCCTTCTAGAAACATTTGTTAAACTCACAAATGATTTTTTAAAATTTAATTTTTTTTGTTTTTTTGCAGTCCTGGGGACTGAACCCAGGACTTCAAATATGCTAGGCAACTGCTCTACCACTAAGCTACATCCCTAGCCCCAGGATTTTAAACTTCACAACTACATAAGGTATTTCCATCTTTATTTTATAGATAAAACGACAGAGGCTCAAAGAAGATAAATAATTTGCCAAAGGTCATATAGTTGCATGCCAAAAACCACAGGCACCATTACAATGTGTTGTCCCTATCCTGGAGGCCCCCCTGCCCCTGTGCCCTGCTGGGCCTGGTAGTACACACCTGTAATCCCTACTTTATAAGAGCATTGAAACCATAAATGATAAACTCTTAGCCTAATGTCTACCTAATAATTAGATCCAGTAAATATTAGTTAATAATTTTGATTGTTATGATACCTTCTTGTTAATTTCAACTTTCCTGTGCTGCAGTCAGTATACCACAATGACTGAGAACACAGAATCTGGCACTAAACTTGCCAACTATGTGAATTTAGACAAGTTCCTTTCCCCCTGACTCAGTATTCTGATCTTTAAAATGGGGACAAAAATAGTGTTAACAGTATTGTATAAGGTCGAAGGATTAAATGTATGTGGAATACTTAGTAAATGAATCACCTAAACAGTCAATAAATGTTGGCAGTCACTGTTATTGTTATTATTGTCACTCCTATTTTATTAGGAAGACAGAGACCTACAGAGGACATGTGAATGATCTGTTCAATGTAATGCAGTAGAAGAAGGCCGGGCATGGTGGTGCATGCCTGTAATCCCAGCATTTAGGAGGCTGAGACAGAAGGATCTCTACTAGTTCAAGGCCAGCCTGGACTACATAGTGAACTCCAGGCCAGCCTGAACTACAGAGTGAGACTCTGTCTGAAAAAACAAACAAACAAACAAACAAACATGTAGTGAAAGAAGGTTCATTAACTATCCTTCAGGCTCAATCTTATTCCTTCTTCAGTAACTCCAAACTCAAACAATCTATTAATTTGTGAGAAAAAAATAACACGCGCTGGAAGAAGCCAAACGAAAGAGCTAAGTGGTGGTGATGGGACAACAGTAAAGCCCAGCTACTAAGTAAAGCCTAACTGTAATAACTCACTGACTTTCTAATATAAACGCAGATTTGTCTAAATTTGAATAATGTATAGAATACTACTGCCTCAGGCCTGATGAGCCCATCTTGAGCTGCACATCAAGCTGCAGGTGCTAGTGGGTTGAGACATCAGCCTCTTGACCCTGGTAATCTTGCCCAGCCCACACACACTGCCTGCACAAGAACCCCACAGAAGCAAGTTATTAAATGAAGCAAGGCAGAGAGGAAGGATGAGGAAAAACTGCTGGACAAGAAGTAGGAGGCAAGGTCAGTGGACACAACAGTGTGGTATGTGGCTAAAGTATGCTGAGTTAGCCATCAAGATCAGAGTTCTAGTCCTGGGCATGAATGCCTATTAAATTTGCCTGTTAAAGGGCTTGCTTGTTATGCTTACTTCTACCCTCAACACATATCTCTTTTTACTTTTAACAGGTTATTTAAACATGTAAAAGATTATTTAAAACATATTATAAACCACAATATAATGAACAACTATGAAATCACTCCCAAGCTAAAAATTAGAAAGTTACCAAGAACTTGTGTTCACTTATATACACCCGTATTCTACCTCACCGACTGCCCCATTCCCACTCACTTTATCAGTAATTTAAGTTTCTCCCCAACAGCTAATTTTCATACAATAGATCTGTTTATAGGGGCTGGGGTTTAGCTCAGAGGCACAGTGCCTGCCTGGAAAGTGCGACATCGTGAGTTCGATTCCTGGTACCGGAAAAAAACCAAAAACAAAAGAAGTCAGGATAGATCTGTTTATAGCATGCAGCACCACTGCTATCACACATCTGTGCCTCTCTCTGACCCGCACCAAACTCCACCCTCTCCTGGATTCTCTAACACTGGCTCCTCGGTCTTCTACCTTTCTGGTTGTTCACTCTCTTGTTTTCCTATGAGACTCATTCCATTCTAGTTAGCCAGTAAAGGTAGTTTCTCAAACTTCATCGCAGGCCCCTTCTTCTCCCAGGGCAGTCTCCTTAGTGTCCTCATGTCTTCCTTGCCACGCCTTGTCCCCTCTTGAACTACTGACCTGACATCTCGGCTCAACATCTACAAGGGATCTAAAACCTAAGTTCTGGCCCTGTTCCTTAGAGTGGATCCCAGGCACAGTGAAGCATCACAGTGAAGAGCACTGCTAAAAACTCTGCAGTCACTCTCAACACAGCCCTTCCCCCAGTCAGTCACTCAGCCTCTTGATTTCATGTGCTTCATAGCTCAGCTCTACCCACTGCAGCACCACCACCATAACCCAGGCTCTCTTCCAGCTATTCTACTTTAACTATTCAATAGTCTTTCTGCAACCACTGAGGTCCTCACATTCTTGCCATATTTCCTAGTTCCTGCTTAGGTTACTGTACTTACCAGTTCCTGCAGGGCAAGTCTTCCCTACAGGTCCCTTTCTCTTACTGTACGTGCACCCACATCTTTACAGTACTTACAGCCATTATAGTTTTATGTTTTTTTAAAAAGTGGTGCCAAGGTATGAACCCAGGTCCTTGGACACACTTGACAAGCACTCTATCACTGAGCTGCATCTTCAGCACTTTTTAATTTTTTTTCTGAGACAAGTTGTCCATGGTGGCCTTGAGCTTTCAATCCTCCTGCCTAAGCCTTCTGTGGGCTGGGATTACATGCATGTGCCACCATGCATGGTTTATACTATTTGTATAATTTCAGTATCTGTTTCTTCTACCAGAGCTCCATGAGGCGGAAAAGATGTATTCTTATTCTCACCACTGTATCTCCTATGGACAGGAATGAGGCTACCAATACGTGGTACTTAAAAAGATTTGCTGAAAGAATGGCTGACTGGATGAACTAAATGGCACAGAAAGATCACTCAGCTGTTGGAGAGGAAAGACATTCATGAAATAGTCTTTAAAACTATCTTCTGGGCATGGTGGTGCACACCTGTAATGTGTGAGTCTGTAATGCGGGAGTCTGAGGCAGGAGGACTGTTGCGAGTTCAAGGCCAGCCTGAACTACACAGTGAGACCCTGTCTCAAAAAGACC